AAGTGCCCACACTGTGCCAAGCATGATGTTCCCCCAAGGCCTGTGAAAACAGTGGTGAATAGATGTATTGCCCACCCTCATGGAGCCCGCAGTCATTCACACAGCATGCAGAGACCCCTCTGGGATGTCAGGGTGGAATCAGGAGGGCTTCCTTGAGGATGAGGAGATATTGGCAGGGAGAAGGAAGAGAGAGGAGGGCTTGGGGCAGAAGGAACCTGGGGTACTGAGGGCCCTCGTTAGCATAAAGGAGAGCTGTGTGTGCTCTGTTTGACTCCTTTCACATTTCAATATTCAAACACTGAGCACCTAGTGTGTGCTAGATGGAAGCTGTCCTAGGTGCTGGGAAAACAAGACAAGAGAACAATACATGTAGGAATCCCTGCCCTTGGCAGACAGTCTAGTAACAAGATAAGCTGGTCAAGTGCAGAATGTCTTGGAGGAGGATGTTCTCTGTAGAACAGTAACTCACACCGGAGTGCTGGGTGGGGGGGCAGTGTTTCCTGGGGGAGAGGGCAGGAAGGCCTTGCTGAGAAGGTGCATTTGGGCAAATACTTTTTTAAAAAGTTAGGTGAGGGAGTGAGCCGTGCTATCTCTGAGAAAGAGGGGCAGGGTTTTTAAAGATACAGCATTTGTTTTACTAGCTTGAGTCGGGACTAGCGGCTGGATGGATTTTATGCGCAGCACCACGATGAATAGATGAGTTGGTGTTTCTGGAGACACGGTAGAGAACAATCTTGAGGACTTAAAAGAGATCAACTCACTTGTGTTCTGTGGGGCAGGAGGGAGTGGGGAGTGGAGTCAAGGAGTCAAAAACAGCTTGGCAGGCCTGTTTCAAGCTGAGAATGATGGCCGACCTTTATTGGCTTCTCTGGGGAATGAATAATTCCACATAAATTAAGCTTCCACACAAACAGCTGTTTTTAAATCACACCCTTGTTAAGTGTGAGATGGGAAACCAGCTGATCACACTTACTAGCGATGACTGTAAAGTATGAGTAAATAGGCTCTGAGTGAGGAACTGTCTAGGGGTAAAGTTGCAAGTCTCAGGGTATGAACTTTTTGGCCTCAATATTTGACTGATTCTGTATTTAAACCATTTGGATGCCTCTTTTTATAACTGAAAATGCCAGTTCTTGCTCTTGCTCAAGATAGCAAGTACTCTGGGTATGTTTTCACCTGACCCCCAGTGCAGGACCCAGGAGTGCACGTGAGCCTGACACTGCCCTTGTTTCCACAGGGACGCACTCCCTCCGGTACCACTACCTGGCCCTGTCAGAGCCAGGCCTCGGCCTTCCCCATTTTCTGGCTGTGGGCTATGTGGACGACCAGCCCTTCATCCGGTATGACAGTCATGTGGGCAGGGCCCAGCCCCAGGCCCCGTGGATGGCGCCCGTGGACACCCAGTACTGGGAGATGGAGACCAAGAAGCACAGGTCCTGGGAAAAGGTGCAGCAGGTGGAGATATGGACTCTGATGAGCCACTACAACCAGAGTGGCGGTATGTCTGGGATGTCCCCTGCCTGTGCGCTGAGATCCAGGCAGCCATGCCTGTCCACGAAGGGATAGGGGCCGCTCCGCCTAGCCTGTCAGCGGGTGCAGGCTTGCTCCTGCGGCATGGCTCTTCCCAGTCTTCTTCACCAATGGCCAAGCAGGAGCCCCAAGGGCCTTCAGAATCAGTTGTGGCGTCAGCAGGCAGCCCATGGGCCAGTGCAGCAAGCATCCACAGGNTGAGCTCCTTTGGGACCATTTTTGCACATACCTTTCTCATGTCAAGATTTTCAGTTAAGATTTTCCTGTTTCTCTATCAATGTTTACTTGGTCTGCTATGCTGCTCACAGTCAGCCAACAATTTTGACGCACAATTTGATGAACTTTTGCAATGTTTTCTGCAGTACTGTTCATTACTGGCCGTTCTGACCTCTGTTCATCAGTGACGTGATCTCTCCCCTCAGAAAAACGTTTACTCCCTTTGTATACTGCGGTTTTCTTCATGGCATTATCCCCATAAACGTGGACTAACATGTCCCTGGTTTCACTTCGACTCTCGCCAAGTTTAACAAGAAATTTAATGTTTCTTCATTGCTCTAATTCAAGCTCAGACATTCTTATGGCAGCACAAAAAATCATGCAACAACAATAATGAACACCACTCAGCAAGACACCACCACATGTCAAAACGAACACAGCTGTGAGACACTGATACACGAAGGTTATGAAACCTTACTGAGCTGTTTGTACAGTGCTGCCAATGTAAACACATGACGGCAAGTTCGCAAAATTAATTGTCAAGCCTCATACTACCGAACCCTATATTTACTATGGTTTTCTTATACACACTACATATGATAAAGATTAATTTATAAATTAAGCAATTTCATGGATGTAAGATTCGATTTTACCATTATCTTAGCAATCTCAGCATACAATATGTTTCTTTCCTTATTAAGTGGAGAATTTTCGCCTTTGAATTTAAAGGAAGCACTTTCCGGGTTCTCTTTGGCATATATGAACTGCCAGCATCACTACTCTTGTGCTTTTGGGCCATTATTAAGTAAAATAACGGTGACTTGAACATAAGCAGTGCGATACCATGACAATCTGATACCCGAGAGGGCTACTGAGGGACTAACAGGAGGGTAGCTTATACAGTGTGGATACACTGGACAAAGGGATGATTCTTGTCCCAGGCAGGATGGAGTGGGACGGCTCAAGATTTCATTATACTACTCAGAACAGAGTGCAAATTAAAACTTATAAATTGCTTATTTCTAGAATTTTTCGTTTAATGTTTTCAGACCACATTGTACCACAGGTAACTGGAACCATGGAAAGCGCAGGCACAGATAAGGGAAGATGACTGTAGTACATTACCTAGTAAGCAGATTGTGCACCTGTCCTAACAGAGCAACCAGGTGTGTGTTGCTCCCATTATCACCAAGTCAAACCTCTGCATTACTTATTCCTTGTCGCTTCCCACACCTGGGGAAGAGCAAGTAAGTACTTTTGCAGTCTCTTTCCTTCCATGGTGGGAATGCCAGGATCCTTGAGTCCCCACTCCTTGTCTCTCGGGCCTGGGTCTCAGTAGTGGCTCAACTCTGGACTCGCTGCAGCTTTCAGAGGACGCCCTTCCTCCCACACTATGCATTCTCCTCTCTGTCACAGGGCAGCAGCCATGACCTTCAGGGCTCATGGGTTAGACTGGCCACCCAACTCTCAGGACACAACAGGCTTTTGTCTAATACCATGTGAGTTCATTTCTTGTAGTTGCTATAACAGATGACCACAATTTGGTGTCTTAAGAAAAAACACATTTCTTTTTTTAACGATTTTATTGGGGAATTGGGGAAGGGAAACAGCGTTGCGGGATCGGGGAAGGGGAACAGACAAGTTGCTGTCCTTTTGTTCTTCAGTCTAGTTGTAGAGGACGTTGCTTCACTGGCCCATGTTGGCATATCACTGTGCTCTTCCCAGGTGAGGTAGTCGCTTGCCGGCCATTGGACGGCAGCTCACGTCAGCTGCCGGCTAGCCCCACTGCAGCCTACACCACCGCTGGCGACTCACAGCAGGCCAGCTCCAGGTTGAGCTGTTCTTCACCATATTAGCTGTAAAGGGCGCAGCGTCACTGCCCTCATGTGGGATCTGAAC